CTGCGATCTGCGACGCTGTCGCCGCTTTCGAAGGCTGCTGGCGGGTGCTGCGGACTGAGGCACCGCGGGGATCTGAGCGGGACCTCCCCGTCCCTGGGCTGCGATCTGCGACGCTGTCGCCAGTTTCGAGGGCTGCTGGCGGGTCCAGCGGAGCGAAGCACCGCGCGGATCTGAGCGGGACCTCGCCGTCCCTGGGGGGTTGCGATCTGTTTCACTGTCGCCACTTTCGAGGGCCGCTGGCGGGTCCAGCGGAGTGAGGCACCGCGGGGATCTGAGCGGGACCTCGCCGTCCCTGGGGGGCTGCGATCTGCGATGCTGTCGCCACTTTCGAATGCTGCTGGTGGGCTCGCCACTTTTGAAGGCCGTTGGTGGGTCTGGCGGGCTGAGGCACTGCGCAGACCTGCGCGTGACCTCGCCGTCTTTGGGGGGGGGGGCATGTCATATTGTTGCTGCCCCGCCGACGTTTTCAGCCCCTTGCCCACCGAGTCCTTTTGGACCCTGCGTCTTCCTTAATCACTCAGGGGTTCACTTAATTACTCATCGTGTTTCCCTGATTGGGGACATGCGAACCTTTCGAATGCCGCTCGAAAAAATATGCGCCCATGTCACGTCGCCGCCTTCTCGTCAAATCTCCCAAGCTACTCCTGCCCCACATTGCGCAGGGGTTAACTACGTCGCCAGGGTAATTCACAAGAAATACTTGAAACGAATGATGTTTAATAAACAAGTGCGCGCGCATAGCTCTATTTGACGAGCATAGGATGGGTCGATATTGGCTTGGCTGTGATGGCATGAGTTCATACTGAGAGTGAATGGTGTGGCAGCATGGTATGTAAGTTGCACACCCCCAAGGTGCATCGATAATCCCAGACGGGGGTAGACCCGAATTCCTTATTTGGGAAAATATGCGGCGCAAACTATGTGGCTCAATTTGTCCCGCCGAACTTGTTATTGACCCCACCCACCCGCAGTTTAGAATTTAATGCAAAACCTGTGCGGCGGCGATTGCGATGACTGCTTGCGGCGGCTGGCGCATCGCTGCGGCCGCGCTCGCGCGCGCAGGCTGGCGCGCGGAACTGCCAGAAATCTGGCGCGACCGGCGCGGCCGCGGTGGCGCTGACCGCAGGGGACTCCCCAACGCGTCTCGCAGGCCGCGCTGACGCGCGGACACTTCAGTGCGAATCGGCGGTTCGGGCGGACGCGGTATCCTGGCTGCGTCGACGGCGGCAGACGCGATGATGACTGTAGCGATGCTGGCGACGACGATGACCATGACGACGGCAAGGCCAATGACGGCGCCGATGCTGATCACGCCGATGGCGATGATGACTGCCACGCGAGAGCCACGAAGGTTTTAGAAGGATGTTGACATGCGCGCGCGGCCGACGCGGGCGAGTGGCCCGCATGGTGTTAATTGGCCAGGGTTGTGACCCCCCAGCACGCGCGCAAGGGCGTCCGAATGATGTCAACATGCGCGCACGAGGGGCCTCCTCGGTCGCACTTGATGTGGATATTGAAAAACTTATTTCGCTGTCCAGAAAAAGGTAACAATAATAAACGAAAAGATGTTTAACAAACCATAATGCAAAACCATGTATTTCATATGGTTTCGGAAACTTCGGTCTTGAAATCCTTGCGGCACCTAAAGTGTTTTGAAGATTCCGGCATGCGCGCGACGACGCGCGCGTCTGGACTTTGTCACATTATGCTGCGATGGGTTCTTGAAAACTGATGCCCTGGGATAAACGAGCGCGCGCGCATACGATCATTTGACGAAAACGGGGGGGGGCCGAACTCGACCTGGCTGGGATGATACGAACTCATGTCTAGCATGAACGATGGGGGACAAATTGTATGTGAATTGACATCCCCAGAAGGGGAGGCTAATCCTGGGGGGGTCGGTCGATCTCATTGTGATACAATCTAGGCGGCGACCAGGTGGCGACGAGGTGGCAACGGCGACCACGGAGCCGCCAGACAGACACCCAGGCCCAGACGACGGGTGGCGACGAGGCGGCGACGGGGCGACGACTGCGAGCACGGAGCCGCCAAACCGCCCGCCAGGCCCAGACGACGCGCGACGACGAGGCTGCGACGGTGCGGCGACGGCGCGCACGGAGCCGCCAGACCGTCAGCCAGGCCCAGTTCCTTGGAAGAGAAGTAAGAACTCCTAAGTGAAGCACTGTTTGGGGAATGTTTGCCTATGGCGTTGCGGCCACGCGCGCGGCGGCGCGGCGTAGACAGACGAGTGGAGGCAAGCGCGCGGCCTGCCACACACACACACACACACACACTCACACACACACACACGTACTATCCTCGGCCAAGACGCCGCTGGGTTGCGGACACCGGTTGACAAGATACACGCGCGGGACGCGCGCATCATAAACGATCCCCCTTTCGTGGAAACGCGGGAAAACCACCCCAAACGAGCGAAGTCAGGCGCAGCCGACCGCTGGGCAGTACTGCGCAGGCGGTGCAGGACAAGCGAGGCCGGCAAGAGCACGAGCACGCCAGGCCGTGGAGGGACGGGGGCGGAGGAGAGAGAGCCCACGGCAACCCAGAGAGCGCCGCCTCGCCGGTTCGCTTCCGATGGCCTTCCGAGGCCCGAAGACGGCTCCAAGAGCGCCCCAAGAGGGCCCATAGAGGGGTCCAAGAGGGCTCCAAGACGGCTCCGCGAGCGCCCCAAGAGCGCCCCAAGAGGGCCCCAAGAGGGGCCCATGAGGGCTCCAAGACGGCTCCGCGAGCGCCCCAAGAGGGGCCCAAGGAGGGCCCCAAGAGGCGGCTTCTGGGGCTCAACAGGGGCAGCCCTAATTCAGCATCCCCCCGTCTGCTCGAAACCCTCCTGGATGGCCCCAAGAATGCCTCCGAGGCCTGAAGAGTGCTGCCAGGGAGCCCCAGGAGGGCCCCAGCAAGGCCCCAGAGCCACCCCACATGGCCCCAGGCCGTGCCCCGAGATGGCCCAGGTCAGCTAACAAGGAGGCTCCCAGATCGAACGATCCACCAAAAGTATGTGCAGCTGGCTCCTGGGCCTGCTCGGGTGGGTCCGGGTCCTCGGCTGGGCTTGTCGCCTGCCTCTCTTCCCCGTCCCACTGCGCTGCCCCACACCTCCCTGATCAGAGCAACTCGCCAGGGCACTGCTGCTGGAAGGGCTGGAGGGGGCACTATTTTTTGGTCGCGGCCGCAGGCGAGAGCGCAAGCGGCGAGTCGTAAGTCCGGGGCGCGGGCCTGCTGATTGACAACAGGAGCAACCTAGAGCCGCGCACCTAAACTGCCAAAGCTGCCTAAGCGGCGCCTCACCTGGTGGGGGCACGCGAAGCGTCGAGAGTACCACCAGACGCAGCACGTGGTGGACTGCGCTGGGCAAGTCGGCGCGCAAACGTGGGCAGGCGAAGTCCGCGCACGCAGGACGTGCAGGAGAAGGGGGAGATGCGCCGCCGTCACTGGGAGAGCCGAAATACTCGGTTCGGATACCCGTGCAGTCCGCCAGCTGCGTCAGCGCCAGCGGCACTCTCCCAGCACCAGCGGCATGAATACAAACGTACCCACGCACGCACGCACGCACGCACGCACGCACGCGCCCCCCCCCCCCCACCCACGCACACACACACACACAAAACACAAAAAAAAACACACACACACACACACACACGAACACACGCACGCACGCACGCACGCACGCACGCACGCACGCACGCACGCACGCACGCACGCACGCACACACACACACACACACACACACCACGCACGCACGCGCGCGCGCACGCACACACACACACACACACACACACACACACACACACACACACACACACACACACACACGCGCGCGCGCGCGCACACGCACACGCACACACACACACACACACACACACACACACACACACGCGCGCGCGCGTGCGCGCACACAAACAAACACATACACGCACACACGACACGCACACACCCACACACATAACACATACCTCAAATCATCATCCACATGAGCATCAGCATCATCATCAGCAAAATCAGCATCACCATCATCACCAGCATCATGAACATCATCATCAGTAGCAGCATCCTTTTCCATATCCTCCTCCTCCTCCTCCTCCTCCTCCTCCTGCCCAGTCTCTACCTTCAAAGAATCATCACCATCGTCGTGATCATCTTCCTAATGTTCCTTGCTTGTCCTCCGTTTTACCGTCCTGCTCGTGTTCCTACGCCACAAAACAGTGTTACGCCCCTCCCGCCGCATCTCCCTGCTTCCACGCACACCATTCACATCGCTACCAATCACCGTCGTCACCAACAGCAACATCAAAATCATACTCAATCCCACCAGACCGTCATCCTCACCATCACCATCACCATCGTCAGCATCACCACCACTATGATCACCATGATCGCAACCAGCATCATAAACATCATTATCACCAGCATCATCAGCATGTTCACCCTCAGCATCATCATCATCAACACCACCCTTATCATCATCAGCAGCATCAGCATCATCACCATCATCATCATCATCACCATCATCATTAGCATAATCCGCAGCAACATCATCAACATCATCATCATCATCATCATCATCATCATCAGCCTTAGCATATTTAGCATCATCATCATGATCATAGCCACCATCACCATTAGCAAAAACAACATAACCATTATAATCACCGCCACCACCACCACCACCACCATCATCATCATCAGCAGCAGCAGCAGCATGTTCAGCATCATCGTCATCATCATCATCACCATCACCATCGTCATCGTCATAGTCATCCTCCCCCTCCCCCTCGTCTTAGCTGCCCAGGCGGAGACAGCGAGGGGCCCCCGAATGACAGGCCAGGAAAACAACATCTCGCTGGAAGGCGGCGCGCGGGCGCCCCAGCGGGTCAGTCCGGCAGCAAGGCCAGAAGCCCTCGCCCGGCGCCATGACGGGCCAGGACAACACCAATCGTGCTGGGAGAGGCGGCGCGCGGGCGCTCCGGCGGCTCATTCTGGCAGCAAGGCTAGAAGCCTTCGCCTGGGGGAGGAGGAGGGGGAGGAGGAGGAGGAGGAGACGCTGGAAACACAAAACTTGATAGATTCTGGCCCGTGTTCCCGTGCACCAGCCCACACACCAGCCCTCACCCTGACTCGCCCCTTCGTGAGGCTTAGGTACACGAGGCTGGACGCATGGGAAGTGTACGCTTTCCTAACACCATAGCAGCTGGAGATGTCGCTCGTTGGCTCCGAGGCACGGCTCGAGCTGGATCGGTCCGCGAGTGCCCTGGGGCCCGATGGGTGCCCCAAATGTCCGTCGCAAGTCCTTGGCAGGGCGGCGATGATGGCAAGCCCGCACGGGGCCCGAAAACCTCTCAGACGCGAAAGGAACATCCCAGAACGTCACAGATCGGGAGACTCTCCATGGGGGGGGATCCTATGGGATCCCATGGGATCCCCCCACATGAAGAGTCTCCCGAACAGAGCACCCCACGTGGGGCCTCGAAACCTGCGGCGACCATGTCGCGAATCCCAGCCGGCGGAATCTCTGGTACAGTAGACACATACGACCAGAAACGGTGCTATCAAAAACCTTAGGGTACGTCTGTCGTCGAGCTTTGAGCTCCCTGCTCGGGGACAGGGAAGTGGATAGCGTATCGCGCGGGAGCGTGGTGGGCAGCGTCCCCAGGCTGCAAAGCCGCCGAGAACCAACGAAACCGTCTGAAAACGTCCGCTCCCAAAAATGTGTCAGCGGAGGGGCGGGAGTCGGGCGCGTCCAAGAGGGGGGCGTCCTCCAAGAGGGCAAGGCATGGCCGGCGGCACGTGCGCTGCCCAGGGTGGGGGCCAGGGGCGCATTGAAGTAAGAAGAGGCACCGTGAAATCTGGGGAGAAATCGTGGCCCCCGCCATGATATCCAGCCCCCCCCCCAAATCATCACCCCCGTCTTGGCCGCCCACGAAGGAAGTCGAATTGGCACCACGGAGCTCCCAAGCCTGGGTCAGCCAGTGGGGATCGGGCGGGCTGACCGAACCCCCGTTCGCGGAGATCGCACCGGCTCCACGTGGCTCCCAAACACGCGTCGGCCAGATGGGATCACGGGGGGACCGCGTCGCTTTCCCCCCTCTCCCTCCTCCTCCTCCTCCTCCTCCTCTTCTTCTTCTTCTTCTTCTCCTTCGTCTTCTTCGTCTTCTTCGTCGTCTTCTTCTTCTTCTTCTTCTTCTTCTTCTTCCTCCTCCTCCTCCTCCTCCTCCTCCTCCTCCTCCCCTTCCTCCCCCTCCTCTCCCTCCTCCATGCCTTTTCCTTATGCATACCCCTTCCGTGTCGCAGCCCGAGGCCAGTCGGACGGGCGGGCTGGGCGTTTCGCCTGAAACCTCCTTGCCACGAATGAGCCTCAAGCTTAAAACCTGACGACAGCTTCACAGATGGAGGGCGGGTCGATTCCAAATTGTGGCTCTCGCCTTAAAGCGCTGCGTACATTCGTTTCAACATTTGTAAGATCTTCACGGATTGAGGGCAGGTGGTCTTCAAAACGTGGCTCTCGCCTCAGCACCGCGCACATTCGTTCCAATAATGTTCAAGAGTTTCACAGATTGAGGGCGGTTCGTGATCAAACTGTGGATATCGCCTTAGCGCGTTCGATAAACAAATTACAAGAGCTTCGCTGGTTGAGGGCGGTTCCTTGTCAAAATGCGGTTCTCTCCTTAGCGCCGCGCGCATTCGTTTAGAAATATGAAAACAACAAAAAACTTCACTGTATTCGATGGCTAACGTTCCAGAAGCAGTGTTTTCGAACGACACAGGGTTGTCAGTGCGCAACAGTTACATTGAGTCCAGGTGTTGAATTCCCAGGAATGGCGTCCTGGCGCGACTCAGGATCGTCAAAACGCGACAGTCAGGTTGACTCGTGGCGTTGAATTCATGAAAGCAGTGTTGGGGCACGCTTAAGGATCTTCAACCAGTTGTCCCCCAATGGGGCACTTCCCTCAGTGGAAAAGAGCCCTCGGAGGGACTTACGAAGGCGGAGCTGAGGCGGGGTAGATTCCACCATCGTTGATGCGCCTTGGGCTTACATTGGTCCTCCTCGTCATCCCCCCCTCTTCCTCATCATCACCATCGTCATTCGCATCATCACCATGACCATCAGCATCAACATCATCGTCATCCCTCTCGTCCTTTTCCCCTCCCCCTTCTCCTCCCCCTTCTCCTCCTCCTCCTCCTCATCATCATCATCACCATCATCCTCACCTTCATGCGACGGGACGACGTTGAACCTGTCAGCGCTCTTCCCCGTCGCGTGAACCCCGACCGCGATTCCCAGGTCGTCGCACTGGGGCGAGCTCCAGCCCAAACTTCCGAAACGACTCAGACCGCGACGGCGGGGGCACCCCAGGGACGCCCAACAAGGTCGAAAAACGAGGAGGAGGAGAAGGAGGAGGAGGAGGAGGAGGAGAAGGTTGGAGTGTCGCGGGGGGGACGGGTCATTCGAAACGTAGCCTCATCTACGCCTGGGCCGCCTACGACGAGTACCGCCGAAGGGCATTTCGACAGCCTGCAAGGCCGCACGCGCGAGGGAGGTGGCATCAGCCGCAAAATTCGCCGGCCCAACGGGCCAGGGCGTGCTAAGATCTCCGGTAACTGGTTAACAGTATTAACAGTATTTCTACTTCGCGCGCGCGGGGCGGCCCCTGGGGGTCCCCCGGCGAAAAGTACCCCGACCAACGCCCGGTCGCCGCCCGACCAAGTCTACTCAGAGATGGTTTTCCTTCTGGGTGCGGCCTCTCAGGCTCCCCAGAGCGCGCTCAGAGTGCCCCAAGAGGCCCCCAAGACTGCCCAAGAGGCCCCCGAGACGCCCAAAGAGCGCTCGAAGACGCCGAAGATGACCCCAAGACGGCCCAAAAGGCCCCCAAGACAGCCCAAGAGGCCTCCAAGACGCCCCAAGAGCCTTCCAAGAGGCCTCCGAAGAGAGCCCCAAGAGGCCAAAATCGTTGATTTTCATTGGTTTTTTCTATGTTTTTTGTGTTCTGGCTTTTTCGGCTTCCGGACGCTCCAAGACGGCCCAAGAGGCCCCCAAGACCGCTCCAAGACGGCCCACGAAGCTCCCAAGACGGCGCCGAAACGACCCAAGAGAGCCCTCAAGACGGCCCAAGTGCCGCCCAAGACGGACCAAGAGGCCCCAAGACGGGCCCAAGAGGGACTCAGGAGGGATACCGAGAACTCAAAAATGGAGCCCTCCGTCCCAGAAGGCGCCCAGGAGGTCCCAAAGAGGCCCCAAGAGGCCTCCAAGAGGCCCCAAGATGTCGCCAAGAGGCCCCAGGAGACTCCCAGGAGGCCCAAAAGAAGCCCCAGAAGGCTTCAAACATGTCTCCCAGGCGCCCCCGAACGGCCTCTCAACAGACCCCAAGAGGCCCCCCAAAGAAGCATCTTGACGACGACTCTATTTCGCCCCATCGAGAGACGACCCCCAGGGAACTGCTTCACCATCAAAACTCCCCACGCAACGCGTCCGAACGACACCCGCCCCCAAGAGCGCAACATGGGCAACGAACACACAGACAAAAACCAGCGATGCCATATCACGGGCCGGCGGAATGAGCGAAGCGATTCAATAAGTAAGGGGGCACCGCCTACCTTCCTGATGGGCGAATGTGTAGAGTTGGACATACATGGCAGTGGGTTTTAAGGGTTTCGGGATTAGGGTGGATACGACCGAGAGCCAGGAGGGGGTCCAAAACTGGGGGGGCGGCTGAATCATGTCCGAGCTGCCTTCGGATGAGCATATACATAGGCGAGCGCTCAGCAGAGTAATGCTTGAGCGAATCGCGGGCCCCAGGACATCCCCATATGCAGCCCCTTGTAAGGGTTTGCTCATCCTAGACTCCGTCATCCACCCACCTCCCCACGTCTCAATGCTGGCATGTCTCCAGGATCGGGAACGCGAAGCATCGCCGACACGACGGCCGACCAGTCGATCGCGGCAGCATCGGCGGGAAAGACCCCGAACCAGCAGTTAAGACGAGTGGCCAGACGCCGACGGAGGAGATGAGGGGCAGGAGAGACAGGGAGCGACGATCGAAGGAGGGAGGAGTAGAGGAGACTCGGCGCGCGCGCACGCGGCGCCAGCTCTTGGCCCCCGCCCAAGCCGTCCACAGCAGCAGTGCCAGGGGGCACACGTATCCCAGGAGGGGTGGCTCCAACAGCCCTCCGCGATACATGCAAGCTTTGCCTCGCATCACCGATATCCCGAGTCGCGCGGCGGACCAGCGCAGCGAGCGCCTGGCGGAGGTCGCGGACGGCGACGGTGCGAGGCGAGCCCCCGGGGTCGCTTGCCGCCTGTTCAAGGGTCGCGGCGAAGACGTCGCTCTGCCACCACGCTGGCCGCGGCCGCCCAGTGACCGCGCGCGCGACCGAGAGGTTCCATCTGGCTGCGCGTCGGAGGTCAGCTGCCGCATCGCGCTAGGACGTCAGCGCCATTGTGGCCGCGCGCACCAGCGCGGTTGAGCACCGCAAAAGGGCCGACGGAGCGGGTGGCCTGCAGACCCCGGGGAGTCCGCGCCATCCCCCGCCCCCAAGAAGCCCCCAGGGAGACGGGGCAGCCTCGCCAGCAGGCCGCGCCCCACCTTCTCGAGGTCACGCGGCGCCTCGACGAGCTGCGGCTTGCACCCCGGCACAGAGAGGCGCTGTTCGCGGCCGAGGAGCGCGGCGCAGCGGGCGTCGGCGCGGCCCCCGGCGATCTCCTTCCCCGACACGGTCAGCATACTTAGCGAGCGGCAGTCGCCTTTGAGCAGCAGGAGTCGCCCCTGGCCCCATCAGCGCGCCCAGGCACTCGAGATCGCTCACGCGCACGAAGGGCGAGCTCGTCCGAGAGGGGGGCGGCGAGCAGGATGGAGAAGGACTTGGCCAGCTTGACACGCATGCCCGCCAGCGCCCGCGCCGCGCGGAAGACTCGCTCTAGGGTCGCGAGCCCACGGCTGGCCGTCGCCATGGCGCCATGGTCGTCGGCGCACCACATCGGGATCCCTCTTAGCTTCAGGTCCGGGTGGG